GGAGTAAGGATGTCGATCCTTGTGGAAACGGGGTCAGCCCATCTCCGATCTGAAAAGGTCCCGTGGGGTTCGGGGCCTCTGAGTCCCCAAAGTAGCACTAGGCCGGCAGACCTTTGAGGGGGGGCGGCCCAGCAGTGGCTGCTGCAATGCATCAGGCCCGGCCCCCTTACCCCCCCCCCGGGGGCCTCAGTTTCCCCCCCCCCCCCCCCCTCCTCCCGCACCTCCCGCTGCAGTGCGCAGGAGACAGAGGAACCCCGGCTCGGAAAGGTGCACGTAGAGCCGGGAGCCTCTCTTCCCACGGACATGCCTTGAACCCCACTCTCCCAACATCTGGCTGCAGCTTCCTGGGGTTCTTGGCATCTAGATGTGCCCGGGGCCAGGGCGGGGCAGGGAGACAAGTAGCGATCGCGAAGGGGGTGGGGCGGGGAGCCGGGGAGCTGGGGCTTGGTTACTCCAGCCTTTGGCAAGGAGGCAGGGGCAACCGGCTCAGCTGGGATGCCTGGACGCCGGGCTCCGGGGCTGAGCCCCCGCCGGTAACGGGAGCGGGGGGGGCCGCGTCCCCCCCGCTGGCCCGGTCCTGCTGAAGGGGGTGACAGCGCGGAGCTCAAGCCCGAGCGGGAGCCGCAGCCGCAGCCGCGACAGCAGCTGCGCCCGCCGGGGTCATTCCGGGGGACATTCCACGCGCTGCCGACGCCTCCTTCCCGCCGCTATTAATACCGGGCCGGGGGCGGCGCTGAGCCCAGGCGAGCGGGACCGAGCCCCGGGCCGGCGGGAGTCATGGGGCTGCTCCCGGGGATGCTGCTCTGGATGGCGCTGGGTGAGTCTGAGGAGAGCAGGGTGCGGGGGGGAGGTAGTGGCAGACACGAAATAGGTTGGGGCGCAGAGGTAGGGCCAGTTCCTCCCCACGACCCAGGCTGAAAACTTCCTAGAGTGGCCGCGGGGACTTCAGGATGGGTTCCCTGGCAACAGCAGGACCCCTCCCCAACAAGCACCTTGGCAAAGAACTCTCGAGCAGACGGGCGCGCCTAGATGAGGTTCTGTGGGAGAAGGGAGGACCCTGGCCCGCAGGAGACCTTCTGCCCGGTTCACAGTGGGGTCTCGGCAGGTGTCAGCTGGAGATATTGTAGGGCTCCCCAACTAGAGACAGAACCTTCTCCTCTTGCCTGGCCCTTCCCTTCGTCCCTTGGAATGGGGGGGGGGGGGGGGGGCGGGATTTCTCCTTTCCTATCTCGGGGGTTCGGGTTTTTCTGGGGGGGGGGGGGGGGCGGAAATGGAAAGATGCCTGGGACAAGGCTGGGGCAACAGAAAACGGGAGTGTGGGCGAACAAGCAGTTCTGTGGGCTTCGGGAATGGCTCTGGGGGAAGAACAGCTAGTGTCAGCTGCTTCTGGGAGTCCTGCAATCTGTAATGTGACACCCACACCCAAGAACGGGGTAAGCGTGGGGGAAGGGAGGAAGGAGGAGAAAGACTCATCAAGATGGAGAGATAGAAACGGAGAGATGCAGAGGCACAGATGGATAGACAGAGGGAGAGGGAGAGGGAGAGAAAAGTGGAGAAAGATCAAGAAATAAAGAGAGACAGAAAGGTTAGGGTTAGAGACTGAAAGAGGATTAGAAAAAGTGATAACCTCCGGAAGATGAGATACCAACTCTTCCCTCACCTTTACCCCTCTTCTGGAATATTGACATATCAGGATACTGGGAGCAGAGAGGCCACCTGGGCTGATCTGCAGGGCTTGAAAGCCCATGCCCACTTCCCAAGGGGAAGCTAGCGATCGAAGAACCAGAGATGCTTGCTTCCCCACAGTAGGAAAAGCAGAGTCAAGAAAAGCCAGAAGTGAGGTATCCAACTTTTGCAGCCCCATGCTCCCTGACACACTGACCAATGAGAGAAGGCTGAGGGAAGCTAGAGTTGTTTAGAAGGGGGAAGGGAGGAATTGGGTGTTGATTCCATGGCCTGGTCCCCCATGACCTCCTTTTCCATAGTCCCTGCCTTAGGGATGAACTCGGCTCCTAGCAGCCTGTCCCTTTCTGTCTAACTGGTTTCCATTCACCAAAAAAACAAAAAAAACCTCATGTTCATATTTGTTCAGGACAAATACAGTGAAAGAGGGAAACAGGCTGAAAGAAGGCAGCTCTAGTCCTTGCCTTCAGAGGCCCTAATGAGATGAGCCAGCAATATCCACCGTCCATTGGAGAAGTAGAGCCCCCAAAGGCAAAAAACAAATCAAGGTCCTTTGTTTAGCTTCCTTAGGGCAGGGCTAACAGCCTCTATCCTCACAGTTAACGACATGCATAGAGAAAGATGACCTCCTTGCCTAAGGGAGTCCTAATGTTACAGGTATTGGATTTTACCTGAAAGTGGTGTCTTGGGGCAGAAGTGGGGGCGCCCAGCCTCTTAGTCTTGATCCAACCCTCTGACCCTCCTAGAATTTCCTCCATCTCCCCAGCTGCTTCTGCGGGTTCTGCTATTACCATACCCTGTTGGCCACTAGGGGCATGATGTTTTAAAGGCAACTTTTAACTAAAATTTCTTCGGGTAAAACCAACCAACCCGAAAGGAAGTAATTGTTACAGACAGCTACAAACAAAAAAAGTCCCTCACAAAAGTAAGATCTTCTCGGAATTGGTCTGGATGTCCAAGAAAAAAAAATTCTAAACTCATTAATGCAGTGAGAAAAGCACAGAGTTTGCAGAGACCCGAGTTCAAATTCTGACTATTTACTACCTCAGTGTAGTAACAGTCCCGGACAAATCACTCACTCTCTAGGCTTTTGCTTCTTCATCTATAAAAATGAAGGGGTTGAATCTGTTGATCTTTAAGGGTACTTCTAGCTCTCAATCTGATGAACTCCAGCCTGAGGATGGTTAAGGGTCAGCACTGCTGGAATCTTAGCACTTTCCAGCCTACATTCTAGGTCTACTCTATCATGTTTTGGTGTGACCCACCTCCACCCCATCCCCCTAGAACTCTTGTGGCCAGAGTTCTGTCCTGGTACCTGGCCCTTGAATGAAGAAAACACTTTCCTAACCTGGCCTATTCCTCCCCTGGATGTCAGGTTATCCTGTACTGTTTCATAATCACGTCTTTTGCCTCTAGTCTGGAGGTTTCAATGGTTGTAGGCCTCTGGAATTTAGTTCTACCCTTGTATCTGACCCTGACCTGATTCTTTCTACTGCAATAGGTTTGTTGGAAGCACTGTGACTAGCCAGTTATTAAGGGTGGTTTTCTGCTGAATGTATTTCCCCTTTGCTCTAAGCTTGATTCTGGAATTGCTTTGCCTAATGGCCACTGTGCTTGCTAACTAACCCTAGCACTTAGGGAGGGTGTCAGGCCATAGCTCTCTTGTATGAGCAAACACCCTTACCTTTGTCACATATCAGATCTTCCAAAGCACTTCCCCCATTCCTGATAGCATTGGGTCCTCAAAATACTCCTATGGGGTCAGTTGCGGAAGAGCTTATCTTCATTTGATACGAGGAAACAAACTCCAAGAGATTAAAACAGCTTGCTCCAAGTTATACAAGGGGTCAGTGTCAGAGTTAATTCCAGAACTCAGTCTCTTTACCACTAGATGATTTCACCTCCAGATAATTCGGTACAAAACTCAGGCTGGTGCAAGAATGACCAGGGAATGAGCATAAAAAAAACCAAAACCCCATAGAATCATAGACTTAAGAGCTAGAGGTCATTCAACTGATTAGGAAACTGAATGAGACTTAGACAGTTGTGACTTGGCTGTGGTTACTAGGTAACACGTGGCAGAATTGGGATTTCTGATTTCTGACCAGGTTCTTTGACTCCAAATCTATTGCTACTTTCCCTTCACTCAGCCCAAGGCAATAACACTCAGTCCCCGAAGGAATCTAGCTCAGCTCCAAGTTCCAATTTTCCTCACTTACCCAAGAGCCTGAGGTTTACAGTAGAGCTTTAAATCTCCTCTCCTTTCTCCTCCTGCCTGACCCTAATATCTCTACAGTGTCATCGGTCTGGGGGGGCTGTGTGGAGGTGGACTCAGAAACAGAGGCTGTCTATGGAATGACTTTCAAGATTTTATGCATCTCATGCAAGCGCCGAAGCGAAACTGTGGCTGAGACCTTCACGGAGTGGACTTTCCGTCAAAAGGGGACTGAAGAATTTGTAAAGGTGGGGGGGATTAGGGGAGAAAGGTGTACAGTTAGGGCCAAGTTCCTGTTAGGGTTTGATCTGGGGAACCAGAATTCAAGGTCAGTAAGAATGATGACTTAGCATTGGCATTGGGAATTAGATTGGGTCTGAGCTGGCTTTGGAGCCAGAGTGACCAGCCTGCCTTCGATTCCCCAGATCCTACGTTATGAAAATGAGATGCTGCAGTTAGAGGAAGATGAGCGGTTTGAGGGTCGTGTGGTGTGGAATGGGAGTCGTGGTAGCAAGGACCTGCAAGACCTGTCCATCTTCATCACCAATGTCACCTACAACCATTCAGGTGACTATGAATGCCATGTTTACCGCCTTCTCTTCTTTGAGAACTATGAGTATAACACCAGCGTCGTCAAGAAGATCCACCTGGAGGTGGTAGAGAAAGGTAAGCGGCCCCCCTTCACAGGCCTTCCCCACCCACCCTATAAATTCCAACCTACAGTTCTCCAACATCAAACAGGGAGACAGATGGTCTGGGTGGGATGAGGCTGGCTCTGTGCCTGGACTACTCAGTGGGGGTGGCAAGGTTCTTAGCTCATTTCCCTTTCTCTCTGGCTCTCAATCAATGTATCTCTCTCCTAATCTAACCCACTCTGTCTCAGCAATGGTCTCTGTCTCTTCCCCTCTCTGTTTCTTTCTTTTGTCTTTGTTTTCTTGATCTGTGCCTATATTTTAAGAATAACATGCAGATCAGTGGCACAGCACCTCCAGCCCAGGATTTTGTCCCACAACAGAGGCATCAAAGGCTGGTCTGGGAAGATTACAGTTGTTTCATATCCCCCCCCACTTCCTAGACCCCTGCCCAAGGAAGATTATAGAAATTAGTCAGCCAACAAGCATTTATTGAATACTATGTGTCAGGCCCTGGGGAGACCCCATCTAGGCAGAGAGAAGATATTTACAGAGTAGACTCTGAGAGAAGGCAGGAGCAAGTATGGGGACCAGGAAAGGCCCCCTGTAATGGGTGAGATTTGAGCAGAGGCTTAAGGAGGCAGAGGTGAGAGGGAATGGAATTCCAGGGGTGGGGGACAGGTGTAGTATGCTGCTTGAGGAACCCCAGTAGACCAGGATTACAGATATGATTTAAATGCCAGTTTAATCCTGGAGGTCAGAGGGAGCCACTGGGTGGGGTTGCCGCCATGGAGAGGCCTATGCTTTAGAAAAACCACCTTGGCGGTTGAGTAAGGGGAGGCTGGATTGGAGACCAGTTAGAGGGTAATTGCAATAGTTTCTTCTAGAAGTGATGAAGTCGATATGCCCCCCAAACATCCTGGTTTCCCCACAAATTTCCCTTGAATCACATAATTCACTATAGCTGTCATAACTTCTCTCAAACTTCTTTGAGCCTATTAATGTTCTCCACCTGTCCCACCTCTTGAGGTAGTAAGTTGATTTTCACCACACTCCAAAGTAGCGACTCCTTTTACTTGGACTTTATTTGAGTTTCAAAGAGAGTTCCTTCATTCTTGTTCCTGGGCAAGTCCTTTCTCCCCTTGTTTTCATTTTTCTCACCTGTAAAATAAAGGGGTCAGACCATCTATGTTCCTTCAAGTCCACCCCAACTTTAATATCCTATGAAGTCTACGACTTTATAAGGCCTGGGTCCCACCTATCCATCTCTTTCCTACATTTGTGGCCTTGAATCCTATTTACCCTAGACCATCATTTTTGTCTATACTTACGTGGCCTCCCATCCCCAGCATGTTTCCTCTAATTGTGCTACCTTCCTCCAGGCTCATCTGTCTTTTTCTGTATTTCTGTCTCAGTCAGCGAGTATTGGCTGAGCACATGCTATGAGCCCTGTGGTAGGTGTGATGGCAGACACAGGAAGGTCTGAGACATGGGCTCTGGTCACAGAAATGAAATTTGACCAGGTCCATGGGACTTCCAGGATCCATGATTGTGCCAGCATTCCCTTCACCAAAGCTGAGCTCCATCCTTCTTTAATTTGGATGGTCTTTGAGAGCTGTTGTTGTGAAATGGGTTGATGGTGGGCTTGCTTCAAAAGAGAAAGAGGGATCTCGGGGCAGCTGGCCCATATTCAAAGCCCAGCCCAAGCTCATGTGCTGTTGATAAGGCTGTAAAGAGCCCAGGGACACCCCCACCTGCCATGATAAGGCATCAGAGCTGGAAGAAGACATATGTGTGGGGAACAATTAGTGTAAAAGGCAATTTCCAATTGAACTGCATTAGATCCAGATAGAATGAAGCACATTTGCACAGTACAGACAAACAGAGATGAGGGCCATGCTGAGAGACCAGTGAGGACTTGGCCTCACTCTGCACAGGGCTGATGGGGCTTGGGTAAGAATGGAGTTAAAGTGAGGTGGCAGGGGGGAGTTACACCAACATTCCCTGATGACCTCTGCCCCATTTCCCATAGCACCCCATGCCATCGATCCCTCTAACTTTGCCCCTACCCTCCTGCAGCCAACAGGGATATGGCCTCCATTGTGTCTGAGATCATGATGTACGTGCTCATTGTTGTGCTGACCATCTGGCTTGTGGCTGAGATGGTTTACTGCTACAAGAAGATCGCAGCTGCCACAGAAGCGGCTACCCAAGAGAACGCGTGAGCTCACGAGGGGGAGTGGGCGAAGCCTTCCCTGGAAATCCCTGAACAGCCTAAGGGACAAAGTCAGGGCGAGGGATGGGGATGGGCTTCTATTTGGGCTGGAGTTTAAAGTGAAGGGTCAGGTCAGGGCTAGGGGTTTGTTTTACACTTAGAGCCTAGGTTATGGGGGTTCAAATAAAGATTGGTGTCAAGGGAACCATTAGGAATACTGTTTGGTTGGTTAAAGTTTAGGATTGAGATTCAGTTGAGTATCGTGGTCACAAAGGATGACGGCAGGTGGATTCAGAGGGCTGGCTCTGACAATCACACAGGCCTCGGGAGTGGGGGAGGAGCACAGAGGCACAGCTAGAAGGGACGTCCAGGTAAAGAATTTGGGAACCCTGACAACTTCCCTTGTGTCCCAATGGTGCCCTCACTCTGATTGGGGCACTATGCTGCCCTGGTTTATGGTGATCGATGGTTGACCTTTGATTCCCACAGCTCAGAGTACCTGGCCATCACTTCAGAGAGCAAAGAAAACTGCACAGGGGTCCAGGTGGCTGAATAGCTCAGGGTAAGGCTGGGGGAATGGCATTTGAGGAGTGGAGCGAGGTGTTGGAAGCACGATTCAGTCGTTCACTCTCTCTCCTTTGTCCTTCTCTTCTAGCCTTCCGGGCTCCCTGGCTCTGCCTCAAGAAAGGGCTGCCCCTGACTGATGGGTTGGGAGGGGGGGGGTATCTACCCCTCCTGGGGCCTAGAAAGCTTCTTGGCCTCCATGCACGGCAGAGTCATGCCAAAGGAGTGGTAGTAGGGTGAGGTGGGGGCAGGGGCTTGCCCATTACTTTGTCTAATACTGTAACAAAGGGTCAAGGGGGCATCAACCTTCCCCTGGCTCATGCCTCCCTACTTTCACCTCTTCCTCTACCCGCCAGATATGACAGTGGGGGTGGGGGCCCTCCTGACTCACCAAAATGCATGATGAAAAAAGCAATATGGCCACCACTCCCACCTTGCTTCTGCTGCCTAATCTTGGGAGGGGGGAAGGGACAGCTCACATCTCATCCTTTCCCTTCGCTCCTCATGCTGATTTGCACATGTCTGCCGCTTTGGCCGCGCACCTCACGTTGCCACATCTGAGGATGCAGGGGCCCTTCCCTCGGGGCCCTTCCCCTGACCCCGTGCCTCCCTCTCCTAGCCATTCACCACACATGACTGACAGGGAGATAGAGGACTGGGGGGCCAGGAAGCCTGGACCTTATGATCCAAGGCCTCAGGACAAACCCCCATGCTCCCGGTCCCTTCTCAGCAACCCTCTTGCCCTAGTGTGTGGCAGGACTAAGGGGCTATGGACTTTCTTCCACACTAACTGCACCTTCCCCCCAGTTCTGCCCCCCACCTCCTTTCAACCTTGGCTCATCCTGCCCTCACCCCCTTCTCACCAGCCTCAGATCTGTGGGCATTCAGGACGGGGAGGACTTTACCTTCCTAGTAACTGTACAGTTGTAGTTTTGTTCATGAAATAAAAACGCTCGGACTTGAGTCTTCGTCTCCCTCTTCAGTCAGGCTCAGAAAAGTAAAGCAAACCTTCAAACTGGGCTTTATCCGAGGCCAGGAATGCTAGGGAAGGCCCAGGGATGGGTAAGAAGCTTGGGTTCTGCTCCGAGGCCCTAGCTCCCTTCACCTTGTACCTCGGTTACAGTCTGGAGAGCAGGCACAGGGCTGTGCCAGGGATGCCTGAGGGAATGCCATTGCTTTCTCCTCTGGCTTTCCTACCAGGGCAGCCACAATACCGTAGAGCCTGCTCCCGAACCATTGACTTAGAGAGGTGGGGCAGAGGTGGGGATGGGCACTCGGGTACCACTCCCTTCCCCCCAAGGCTGAGGAGGCCCGGGCCCGGCTCCCAGCCTGTGGGAAGGGAGGCCAGAATTCCAGCTTGGAGAGTTCAAAAGCAGCTCTGAAGCACCAGCTCATTACATGATTAACGTCATCGTTATTGTGAGCACTAATGCCACAGGGGGCCACAGGCAAGAGAAAGGCAGAGACAGAGGTAGAAGCCAACAGGTGCAGCAGCAGCCAGATATATCTGGTGGAAGGGGTGAAGGATCGTGGGTGGAGGGTGGAAAGTGGGAGCCTGTCCCCTCAGGATCTGACTTAGAGACTGTTCAGACAGAATTAAGGTAGCAAGGGCTCTAGAATCCTAAATGCTCAGATTAGAACAGTGTCTGGAAAGGCCTTTGTGTAATACGAGGAGGGGTGAGAGATGAGGAAGGCTCTGCAAGGTTGGTGTTTCTGCTGTCAACTCTATGGAGTAGTATTGGACGGAAGGCTGTGGACAGGTGTGAGACTGGGTCTGGTTTGGATCTAGGTACAAATGTATGTCCTGATTCTCATCATCACCACCATCAAACGTGTATTTATGTGTGTTCACATATACAGTGTTATGAAAATACATATGTAGCTATGTGGGTGTCTGTCTTTGGCTATGGAAGGGTCTGTTTCTGGCAACGAAGAGATATATCTGGCTGTGTATGAATGTGGTTCCTCACATTTCTGATGGGGAGGAATGCATTTGCCTGTCGGTGTGTATCTTCATGTTTCCAGGGAGTTCTGTGTCTGGCTGGCCCCACATTCAAACCCATTCTTTCTCCTTCCCTCCCTCCGCCCTCCACCGGGGCCACAGGACTTTCCCCAGCTCCAGAGGTCGCTGGCTGCCCCATCAGGAAGGCGCTGCCAAAGCAAACCAGACCCCGTGACTTGTGGGAAAGCAGAGATGGGAGGGCAGCAGGGGGCAGAGGACAACGGCCAGGCTCAGGCCTACCCTGGGGCAGGGCCAAGGGGCTCAATTACCCATTCTGTCCCGGGACCAGGGGGCAACACGGGATAGTTCTCGGTCCCACCCCAGACCCCGGTGCTCCACGGCACCCCATCCCAACAGCAGCCACTCCCAACCTCACCTCGGGTTTACACAAACCTCCACCTCTGGACAAAGGCCCTGAGGAGGCCAGCAGCAGCAGCAGCAGCATCGAGAGTGGGAGCCCCAGGCAAGCCAGAAAAAGAAGAGGAAAGAAGAGGAGAAAGGTTGAGCTTGTCTACCGCCCTTGGCCAGGATCGGCCCTCTCGAGCTGTGCCTAGGGGCCGGGGACTGGGCAGGTGGCTTCCAACAGCAGCCGCTCCCATTGGCCAGGTTCTTCTCCGCCCTTTCTCCCGCCCCTTCCCCTCCCCCCACCCCCAGCCCCCTCCTCCTCAGGTGAGCCAGTCTGACTGAGCTCAAGGCTGCTGTTGTTTCTCCCCTTCCTGGGACCCAGGTTCCTGGCCCCCAGCTGGGGACACCATGCTCCTGCCAGGGTCCTGTTGTGACCCCTAGGAACTGGAAAACAACTCTGAGATTTCACCGAACGGACCCCAGAGGGTAAGGCAGCGCTCATGTTCCAAGCTTCCCTCCCCTATCCCCTGCGGTCTTGGCCCCGAGTCCCCATTTCCTCCTCTGGCTCATTCTAATGCCTTTCCAGACACTGGGTACCCAGGCCCTCACACTCATCCCCAGGTCCAGTCTCACCCTTGGCCCTTGGCCTTTTCTCGGACCATCTAATCCCGGCTTCTCTCCTAAATCCCTACCCAGTCTGGCCCGGGAGTACAAAAGTCTTGTCTCCTTGCATCTGGTCCTTCCTACCCTCAGGTGTCCAGCCAACCTAACTCTCAGACCTGTACTTCTCAACATCATGAGCGTCCCTCCCCCCACTCCCACCCCAGGCTTCTTTCTCTACTCCCTTGAGAGACCAAGCATCTCTCCGCCTCTGATCTTTTGGGGAGGCAGTGCGTGGCTTCTTCAGCTCACATTTCTGTCAGGGAATGAGGTATCTGGCCCCTTCCCTCGGGGACTCAGCATCCAATCCGCTTCTACCAACACACGGCCCCTCAGGACACTGATGCTGCCTTTTCCCTTGGGTGCCCTGGCATACGGCTCCCTGTAGTCCTCAGCCTTCCTGAGGCCCAGGTAGCCTGCCTTCTCCCAGCCCCCAGATCTTCCTTTTAATTCCTGCTCCCCACCTTGGACCCTGGTGCCCTACCTCCCTGGTCAATTCCCCTGCCTGTGTCCTTGATCCTCTGAGCTGGCAGGCTGACCAGCCCGTGATCACGACATGCTCTGGGCAAGAGGCCCAGCCCCTCACGTTGGCTCTGAGGGAGGGGAGCTCAATCCTATAGCTAGGCATACCTGGGTCTGGGAAAGTACTGTGGGGAGGGGGGTAGAATCAAGAGAACTAGGGGCCTCTAGGTGCCAAGGAGGTTCAGGGCCCACCCCCATCTATTTTATGTCCCCCTCACAGGTCTCACTTGCCTCTCTCCCCAAGGGGGGGAGGCCCTACTGCGACAGCCACCACTGTTCACTGGGGGAATCATTAACTGGAAGTGGTGACATGGCTGAGAAGGAGAGTAAGTGGCTTCCTTAACTTATGCCCCTTCTACCCTTACCCTCGTATTCTCCCCCACTTTCTCCTTTCCCATCTCTTGGGTTTCTTTTCTTCAGACCTCTCAATCTCACTCTCTTACCATTAGAACCTGTCTTTCTAGGCTTCCAACCTGTCTCTTCCCCCAGCGTCCAATCCCTTCCCATCCAGCTTCCTTACCCTACCCATCTCATGCTGCCCCCCACTTTCCCCCAAGCTACCTCCAGCTCCTTGCCAGATTAATCATTAATCAGTCATCCATTAAGTTCTTACACAATCTGTCTCCTATTCCTCTCAATATCCTTTACAACATTCCGTGCTCTGTGCCTTAGTTTCCCTATTTGCTACTGCCCTATATGGCTACTTTCTACCCCTCCACCCCAAGAAATAAGTGATTTTTTCCACAAATACTTTATATCCCTTTAATCTTGAATGCTAACAACAGGTCGAGCTTAGAATTTGAGAGGCCAGGATTCCACTCCCCTAAAGTATATGACTACAAAAGCCCTAAGTCTCAAATTCCCAGCCCTTCCTCATTTTCCAGCAGTTCTGAAGGAGGGATCTCTATCGCTTGGCTTGCCTGGCACCTTAGTCTGAACAACTAAGGTGGGGGGGGGGACGGTGACATAGAGAGAGTCCAAGAGAACCAGCTTCAGCAACAACTACTCAGTATGGGGAGTCAGGGAACAGGCTTCAGGATAAGAGAGGTCCTAAGACTTAGAACAGGCAGGTTCCTTGGAGGTCATCTGCCCCAGTCTCTTCACTTTATACATGAGGAAATCAAGGCCCAGATATTCAGGGACATTAACTGGATCCCATCATTGCCTCCACCCCAGTCCTCTTATTTCCTGCCCAACTCTGGACAACAGCAGATGCCTTGGATGGGGTGGGGGGGGGAGGGGGAAGCACTAAATTCCAGGTTAAGGACAGCACCCTCTTCTTCCCCTCCCCTCCCTTCCCCCCATTTAGAGAATGAGGCCACGGACCTTCTAAGTTTGGATTTCCAAACTATTTCCCGGCCTGTTCTTCAGTCGTTAATCATTTTTAGTCATGTCCGACTCTCTGTGACCCCATTTGGATTTTTTTTTTTTTGGCAGAGATATTGGAGTGGTTTGCCGTTTCCTTCTCCAGCTCATTTTACAGATGAGGAAACTGAGGCAAACAGAGTGAAGTGACTTGCCCAGGGTCACACAGCTAGTAAGCATCTGAGGTCGGATTTGAACTCAGAAAGAATCTTCCTGTCTCCAGGTCCGGTGCTCTTATCTAATGCACCACCTAGTTGCTATTTCCCAACTGAAGTGTATTAATTGAGGAGTGAGAGCTCAGCGCACAGAACTATTGAGGTTGGGGGGGGGGAAGGGGAGAATAGACAAAAGCGGAGAGACTTGTCACCTTTAAAAGATCCCCTTCTCTGAATGAGAAGGCATCTGGCCCCAGCATTCAGGGGGCTTCCTGTCTGATGGAAGAAACAAGGTCTTGACCCTGGCCTTGCTTCCATGCAAATGGGCAGGGACACAGGAAAATGCCAAAAATACAAAGAGAGATACAGAAATAAATTCTCTTACATTTAGGAGCTGGGTGGAGATAAACCGAGGAAGGCTTCCTGAATAGTACTTCCTGATAGTTCATGGTCTGGTTTGGAAAGGCAGAGAGACATGGTTTAGTAGATAAGAGCAACAGGTAAGAAAATGTGGAAAAGACACAGAGGCCAGAACAGATAAGGGTGTGTTAGGGACAAGCAGCAGGGGAGCTTGGCCAGGGCACTGAGTTTGGGTTGGGGTAGAATGAGAGCTGACAGGGCCTACATGAAGGGCTTAGAGAACTCCTTTCTTGCTGCCTTTCAAGAAAGGAAGGGGACCCCAGACAAAGTCCAGACAACCAACTCTCCAGCTTTTAGGGTATGTGACAACAGTAAAAAAAAAAAAAGAAAAAAGAAAAAAGATTGCTGGTGGAAAGTGAAGGGTTGAAAGTAACAATCTAAGCTCTGCAAAGAAGTGCTCTCAACTAATATCAGCCAGCACTCATATACTGCCTTTGCTGTTGTCCAGTCGTGTCTGATTCTTCGTGACCCTATTTGGGGTTTTCTTGGCAAAGATAATGGAGCAGTTTGCCATTTCCTTCTCCAGCTCATTTTACAGATGAGGAAACTGAGGCCAACAGGGTGAAGTGACTTGCCCAGGGTCACACAGCTAGGAAGTGTCTGAGGCCAGATGTGAACTCAGGAAGATGAGTCCTCTTCTCTCCAGGTGCACTATGGCACCACCTAGCTGCCCTATGTAGTGCCTTAAGGGTTTGCAAGGCACTTTATAGCTTATTCGTACCAAATCTATATCAAATCGGATCCAAATCCAAGAAAAAATAATCAGAAAAATTTGGCTGGAGGCTTGGAAAGTCGGAAATAAGGGGGATTTGGGAAAGAGCTAGAATAGCAGAGGCATAGCCACTATCCTGCCATTGCTACATGTGACCACCAGGGGGACAAAGCTGGAATGTTGATCCCAACCGTGAGGAAAGGGACGTTGCCACCTGCCTCACCCGGCCCTCTGGTGCATGGTCTTAGGCAAATACCATCTGGGGTGAGTGGAGAGGCTCTTAGGGAGGTTTTGAATTCCAGGGTAGGGCTTGGCTCCTGCTGCCTTGGGGGTGAAGCTGTCTGCTCCTATGACTTAGACGTAGAGAATAGGGTGATCCATCATGAGGGCAAACAGCAGGAAAGGGAGCCAGGGGGATAAGGCCAGGGACAAAGGTCACTGACTCACATATAATTCCCATTCCAGGACAGGCTGCACTAGAAAGCCAGAAGGAGCCAGGATGGGGGTGAAGGGCCTAATCAAGAGAAAAGCTTGAGATATGATGTAGGATGAACCCAATGCCAACAAGTATTGGGATGCCAGGGAAAAGAGAGCGTGGAGGTAGCTAATGCCAGTGACACCTCTTCTACATACCATGAACACCAGGCTTGCCAAAAGCGGCCTTTTTTCTTTGTCCATTCCTCCCTGTCCCCCATCCCAAGGAGGGTATTAGGTGGAATAAGCAAAACATCCAGGGCCTGGAAAGAAAGGGAGAAGAGCCCAGAGCTTCCTGAAAGGACACCTGGGTTCCTAGGTGGGCTAGGGAGTTTCTTGGCAGCTGCTCAGGGAAACTGACCCAACCACTTTCCCAGGGCCCTTGGGATCCCCTTGGAAACAGGACATGTGTGAGGGGGAGGTAAGGAGGAGGAGGAGGAAGAAGGAAAAATGGAATAAGGCCAGTCAGAGCTGGGTGAGGTGTGGTGCCTGGGTCTGGCCCCCAGCCCAGGCCTGGCTGAAGAAGGAAGGGCTCAGGAGAGGGCCCTAGTTCTCAGTAGGGGGAATTGCCTAGAAAACAGTAGAGGGGAAATCCTGAGGTCTCAGAGCCAGATTATGGAATGAGGGGGAAATGAACAATGCACACAGACTGTATTTGCTTGTAGGTGGCCAAAAGGTTCAGTGTTGGTCTCTGCCCAAGATTGTGGCTGTCGTCGCAGGGGGCCTCCTGCTCCTGGCGGGGATTGGAGCAGCTTCTTGGGCCATTGGTGAGAGACAGACACCCCCCCCCCCCCCCCCCGCCTCTCCTGCCCCTCACCTGATCTTTCCCCACTGCTCCCCACCCTCCCAGCCCCTTTCTCATCTCTGTCCTTTTCACAGTGACAGTGCTGCTGAGGAGTGACCAGGAGGTGCTGTACCCGGGTGAGTGTACCCATAGACTTCCTTCTACTGTCTGTCCATGGAACATGGGCCTATTGCCCCCCCCCCCCCCC